GAACTGCTCAAACCTTGCATTTAAGATCTGTGCGTTTCACTGTAAATAGATTACATCTCAATAATAAAACTGGTATATAAGTTCGTTTATTGCTTGTGTTACCGTTAAGAATTAACAATCAGTTTTACAAATTAAAATCTTGAGGTTTGGAGTATTGAAGTGAGTTTGTCAGTATTTGACAGTGATGAAATCTCAAATGAGATGCAGAACTCAACAACTATTTTGTATGAATTGCTTTTTCAATTCATCCTTTGAATAACACTTCTTTGGTGTGTGGGATGGGAAATAGTTTTCTTCTAAGTAGTCTACTCGATATTCAAAAAAGGTGGATAATAACATTAGTATATTTTAGTTACATGTTTTCGGTCATTTTTTATTTTGCTCTATTTCTAAGCCCGTGGAAGTTTAATATCTATAAATGGTTTATCAATACACTGTATTCAGTGAGTATTTAGAATGAAGAAAATTAAATGTCATATTATCTGCTTTGTCCAATAGGTATTCTTTATAAATCATTCTTCTGAAGGACTTCTCCTTTTGGAGGTGATAGTATATGTAAATCATGCTATATTATAAGAGAAGATGAGCTACGATTGTATGACGGAAGCACATATTCATTAGTAAGGTGGTAGCCACTATAATGGAACACAATTAAATGGAGAAAAGTTGTTTTTCAGAGATGTAGTGAAAGCATGCATGGTCTTGCACTCTTCCTTTTAAAGTAATACCTTACAATTATATAGTACTTTTTATTCTTCATGGCTTTTTTGCACATTATATAATTTTATTCTTACAAGAAACCAGAACATATTTTACTAGGGCTAAGATTCTGAACAGAGGGTGGTGATGTGATTTGACAAAGATCACACTTCTCTAATCTAAATCCTTCACTTCATTCAAAGGCTAGTGCACAATTGTGTACTTTAAGTGAAGCTGTTCTTCCCTCCCCTTACCCTAAGATAATTTCCCAATTAAAAAAATTCCTAAGCAATTTTGTGTACCATCTATGCTATGCTCTTACTGTCTTATCTACTTTATACTTGTTCTTAATTTTTTAATGGACACATTTTATGTTTTCCTAACCATATTGTAAATTCTTCTACTTCTCTTATATCTTCCTACCCTGGATGTCCCTGGCAGAGAGCCAGATGAACATTAGTTACTTTATTAATACTTTTTTTTTTTGTCTTTTGTCTTTTTCCGTGTCCGGCAACGGATCGCAACCCTCGGCGTTGCCCCCGTGCCTCGCTCAGCCAGCGAGCGGGAACCGGTCTGTATGCGGGATCCGAACCCTCGGGCGGGAGCGTCGCCGCGCTTCCCAAGCGGCGCACTCATCCAGTGTGCCACCGGGCCAGCCCTTATTAATACTTATTGAACAAGGGCTTCCTGTAAAATTAAATTGTGTAATATAAATAAAATGCTACTAGCAGTGGCCCATCATATATAATAAAAGCTGGTTGGGTAAGGATCACTTGAGAATAATGTGAGCAAATTTATTACATGATTAATAGTAATTCCACATTTTCAGTACATAGTTTTAATTGAAATCTTTTCTTTCTGTGATTGCATTTGGTGGGCTTTCTGAGTTCTAGCATAAAATCTTTGGAAACTTGTA